GCTGTTTTGTTTGGCGTTTGTAGTTCTAAAAATAAAGTTAGTTTCTTTTTGACAAGTGGCTCCTGATTTGTGCCAAGCCAGACTTCGGCACCTGTAATACCAGCAGCTTGGGAGGCTGAGACAGGAGGATCACGAGTTTAAAGCCAGCCTCGGCAACAGCAAGGTGCTAAGCAATTAAAAAATACAAAATAGGGCTGGGGATGTAGCTCATTGGTTAAGTGCGAGTTCAATTCCCAGCACCAGAATAAACAACAACAACAACAAAAGTAGAATACATGTTCTTCCAAGAAGCTTTACATAATTAACCTGATCCAATTTTGATTTCTTATCTTCTCTAAGTATTTTGTACACTTTGTGTACTCAGCATGTGCTATATATAAAAAAAGAAAAAAATTTACTTTTTTGATTCCAAATCCAAAAGTAATAGTTTCAGTATAAGAAATCTGAAAATAGTCAGGTGTGGTGGTACACACCTGTAATCCCAGTGGCTCAGGAGGCTGAGGCAAGAGGATCTCAAGTTCACAATCAGCCTCAGCAAAACAGAGGTGCTAAGTAACTCAGTGAGACCCTGTCTCTAAATAAAATACAAAATAGGGCTGGGAATGTGGCTCAGGGGCTGAGGGTCCCTAAGTTCAGTTCCAGGTTATTTAAAAAAAAAAAAAAAAGAGGGCCAGGGGCATAGCTTAGTTGGTAAAGTGCTTGTCTCGAATGCACAAGGTCCTTGGTTCAATCCCCAAGAAAGAAATCTGGACAACAGACCAGATGTGATGGCACACACCTGTGATCCCAGCTGTTTCAGAAGGCAGAGGCAGGAGTATCCCAAGTTCAAGGCCAGCCTAGGCAACTTTGAGACCCCTGTCTCAAAATAAAAGTAAAAAGGACTGGGGATATAGTTCTCAATGGTAGAGCACTCCTGGGTTCAATTCTCAATATTGGGTTGGAGGGTCAAGGAAAGGAAAGGAAAATAATAAAGGAAATAAAAATCAGTCTGAGATACCATTACCCACCATTACTTTTCATTCTTATTTTAGTATATTTGCATAATACTTGGTCACTGATTTCATGAATGCTCATTTTTGCTTATTTTATGGGAAATAGCAGTATATCAGTTACTGCTAATCTTTATCCTTGGTGGCAGAAAATACAGTGTTCTTTACATAAAGTAACGGTACAGCCCATCAATCAACTTAATGATATTCAAGAATACTAAAACACTTTAAATTAGACTGTACATCTATATAACACATGAGCACAATGTTAGGACTAAATAAATATATCTTATTATAATGATGGCTTGAACATTATGCCAGGGCAATGTTATTTTCTTTGTATTAGGCTAATGCAAATTTCTGATGCTCAGCTTGAAAAGGAACAAAAGTATAAAAGATATTTTAAATGAAAGCCAAATGACAGGTTCAGAGGCACAAACCTGTAATCCCAGTGTTTCTTTCTGAAGCAGGAGAATTACAAGCTTAATGTTACCCTGCTTAGTGAGACCCTGTCTCAAAAAAATAAAAGAGGCTGGGGTTACAGCTCAGCAGTAAAACACCCCTGGGTTCACTTGGCTTGGGTAAATATTTAGGAGTGATGGATGGGTTGGATTGTAAGCGTAGGAACATAACTTTAGAAGAAATAGTCATGGGTATGGTCACACCTGCCTAATCCTAGCTATTGGAGAGGCTGAGTCAAGAGAACTCCAAGTTTAAGACTAGCTTGGACAATTTAATGAAAAATAAAAAATAAAATGGCTAGGAATATAGCTCAATAGTAGATCATACCTGGGTTCAACTCCCAGTATCCCCCCCACCCCCACACCTCACATACACAAAAGAAAAAAAAGGAAAGAAATCCAAGTGGGCTGTGTGTAGCTCAGTGATAGAGCACTTAACCTAGCATGCATAATATCCTAGCTTTGATTCCCAGCACCAAAAAAAAAGGGGGGGTCAGCGGGAGAAGGAAGGGAACAAGTACGGAAAGGTTGGGAAGCATTCTTTAGGGGTATCACAAGTAGAAACTTAAGATTTTTCTTTTTTTAGCTACACCAAAAATATTAACAGATTAATAACCTAAAATGAGAAAAATTCAATTTTTTCTCCTCTATCATTTCTTTCACAGGAAAACAGAACTTCAAAAAAAGCTAAGGACTATTGATTAGAAAGACATTTAATCAATAAGTGGTGTATACATACTGTAGTGTAGTGCCAATAATCACCACAGTTATCTTCATTTCAAAAAGAATAAAACCCTTATACAAAATAATATTCTAAGGTTATTCTAAAATTCCAAGTATCTTTTTTACAAGTCAGAGCCAAGTAAACTTGTAAAACTAATGGGTAACTCAATTGGATAGTTCCTTATCTTCAAAGAAAAATAGTGCTTGGGAAGGGAGTATTTCTTTTTATGGACAATGTGGAATCTGTACTTGATACCTGGCATTGGAGAGCTAGCCCAAAACAACAGACTCACAACAGACAACAGAAAGATGGGAAGAACTTATTTCCTTGATAATCTCCATGAATTCTGCATTAATCTGCACTCAATGGTGTATCATCTTTTTTTTTCCTTCCTCCTTTTTTGAGTTCAAACTAGGGATTGAATTTAGGGGCCTTTAAAACTGAGCCACATCCCCAGCCCTATTTTGTATTTTACTTAGAGACAGGGTCTCACTGAGTTGCTTAGCACCTCGCCTTTGTTGAGGCTGTCTTTGAACTCCTGACCCTCCTGTCTCAGCCTCCAGAGCAGCTGGGATTTCAGATGTGTGCCACCACGCCTGGTAACACTGTATTATCATTTTATCAAATGCTTTGTATTTTGAGGATACACTGCTATTTGTGAATTACACAATCTATTATCAATATCCCTTTTGTACCAACTAAATCCCTTTTGTTTTTATCCTGAATTCTTCATTGTCAACATTATTGTTTTGGTGTATCTCCTCTTAACAATATATGGCTAGATTTTATTTTAGCCCTTTTGGCAATTTGAGGAACTAATTATAATAACATGTATTATAATAATCATTATAAATGCTTATAATCTTTTCATCTTATTTTTATATATCATACTTAGTCATGTCTATATTTTCTTTCCTTATATCTAGTTGATCGAGTTTCTAATCCTTCTAACCCATGTTCCCTCCGCTCAAAACTGGTATTTGGACATTAAATAATGATGCCCATTCCTACTTTCCCCACCAAGATGAAACATTTATAATGCTATTACTTCTCTATTCTCCCAAATGTATACTTAAAGAATAGGCTATCACATATGCCTAATACAAAGTAATTTCATTTTGCATCCAAAAATATTTTTGGTATCCATGGGGGTCTTAGAACCAACTACTTTTGTATACTAAGGGAATAATGGCATAGTAATTCTGATTGTTTCTGGGCAGTGAGATTATGTACAACATTTATTTTATTAATAGTTTCTGTGTTTTTAAATTTGTTTGGCAATAGACATGTATGAACAAAAAACTACAACAAAAACAAGTAAAGGGAAATTGGCAGAGTTTCAAAGGAATAATAAAAAAAAAAAACTACTTAAAAAAAAAAAATGGTACCAAGTTTAACTACAGAAAGACCAAGAAGGCTCTCTGACATTTGCTCTATGTTTCAATGCCAGCCTTAGATTAGAAACTGACTTTATAATATTAAATTGAAGAACACACTTTACTCTTGCATCAAGCTCAAAAACCCTGAGATTAACCAAAGGATTCCATTAGTATCTGTTCTGAAAAACATTTCTTTTCCAATTCAACTAAACACATGGTCAATTAAAACCCCAAATTTTCCCATGCCTTAAACACATCTAAATTAGAAAAGTGTAATCTTTTTTTTTAAAATTAATATTCAGTAGATGATTATATACTACATACTAACTATATTACATATACTTATACTGATGAAGAATTTGGTAAGTATAGATGTGTAGAGGCAAATTTTTATTTTGAAATTTCTTTCAAAAAATATTTTTTAATATCCATATAACTTTTAGTTGTAGAAGGACATAATTCCTTTATTTTATTTGTTTTTATGTGGTACTGAGGATCAAACCCAGTGCTTCACACATGCTAGTCAAGTGCACTACCACTCAGCTACAACCCCAGCTCTGAAATTTCTAATTTGTAAGTACAAACTCACTTGTCCTAGTACACAGACAGTAAGCTGAAACTATAAATGCTATTGTTTCTTAGTCTAGACAACATTCTAATTTCCTTGTGCTTGTTCTAAAGATATTATTTACTGTATTTTTAGCTACCTATTCACTATCCTCTTTCCTTTCTTTCTTAATGCAGACCCTGAATTCATTCAAGGTAGCTATATGCACAATTAAAAATGTTTTATTCCCGAGAACACCTTACATGGGTTAAAGAATACAATGAATCCTAGCTTTCCCATTTAAGAAACAGGTAAGCAAAGGAAGGAAGGAGAAAGAAAAAAGCAGACTCAGCTGGAATGAGCCTTCTGCCCTTCCTTTTTCTCCTGAGAAAACCACTTGCAAACCTAAAATGTGAGCCACTTGCTAGAAATGACAAACAAGGAAGGAGAGAAAGTGCCCAGGTCCTGCAAGAAAACTAACCCAGTGTGTTAGGCTAAAGTAAAATTTATACAAAAGCCTTAAAAATTAGAAAAATTAGGTTATCTGGATGGAATAGATCTTCTGATCCTGTGAATAAAAATCAAGCACATGAGAAAAAAAATGTTAATAGCTTTTCTATTCCTAATAAACTAGTTCATACACATAGAAATATTTAACTTCCCACACCACTATGAGATAGTCTTATCTCCTATTCTTAAAAAGATAAAATAGGCAGAAAAAGGCAGATGACAGAAAGATTATTTTCATCAGTATTACAGATTATAAACCCAAACACTAATCCCTTTTTAGGTTCTGCACACAAATATCCCTATAATTTATCATATAGTACTTCTAACACACATATGGGCAATTATAAGCTTCCAAGTTATTTATAACTAAGATTGCAAACTAAAAAGCTAACTTCAGGATTTGAATGTTTCCATTACACAGGTAACTATATAAACAGGACAATAACATCCTTAAAAGACTGGAGAAAAAAAAAAAAAGCCAGGTGTTATAGCATATGCCTGTAATCCTAACAGCTTGGGAGGCTGAGGCTGGAGGATTCTGAGTTCAAAGCCAGCCTCAACAACTTAGTGAGGTACTTAGCAACTCAGTGACATCCTGTCTCTAAATAAAATATAAAAAAGGGCTGGGGAGGGCTGGGGATGTGGCTCAAGCGGTAGCGCGCTCGTCTGGCATGCGTGCGGCCTGGGTTCGATCCTCAGCACCACATATCAACAAAGATGTTGTGTCCGCCGAGAACTAAAAAATAAATATTAAAAATTCTCTCTCTCTCTCCTCTCTCACTCT